GTCGTGTGTTCGCGTGTACGTTCGGCATTGGTGTAAGTTTATCAGTTAAAGTTGAATTGTATAATAGAAGTATCGATATGATAAGGACTCTTTGGGGAAACCACTTACGTGCAGGATGAAGGGATTAGAAAGATTGGATTAAATGTATGTTTAAAGACTATAAGTCAGACATAATAAAAGTGTTAAATAAAGTAAGTAAAAGTCATTAGAACGAAATCTCATCGTTGCTTGTGTAAGAAAAGCACATCCGGGCTCCTACTATCGTCTTTGTCACTCTAGAAGGATAATGGCCGTAGGAACAATGACCAGAGTGAGATAGACTGAAGAAAAACCGATTTGAGAATCCAGTTCATTTTATAAACATTAACTCTTTTTTTATACATTTTTATCGTTTCTTTTTATACTATTTAAAAATTTTCTTAATATTTTTCTTATCGAAAGTTTTTAGAAATTTAAATTATTCTAGATATGTAATTTCACGGTTTCGGAAGTCGGGAACTATGATAAATGTTCGATATATACAAAGAATAATATTACATAAAAAGAATATGTCAAGATATTTTGTGCTTATAGCCAACAAAACTGGCCTCCGAGTAAAAATGTCTGTAAAAAGGCCTGAGATGACGCCAAACAGTCACGCGTCACCACTCATGGACAACTTATGGTTTGAGGACGGAGTCATGCTCAGTCAATGATCCTGTTGTCGCTGGTAGCGCCCAAAATGGCCCATTAGCAAATCTGCAGATAATTCAAGCCAACTTGGAAAGCAGACAGCATAATCTACTCCTCAACCGTATCAATTATTGTACTGAAGCTAGTTATTCCACTTATTATTTGTAAGACTCCGAAAATAACGCCTGCCTTCATTTTTACGAACTTCAGAAAAAATTTGAATCGAAGAAAAGGTAGTCTTCTATCGTGTTAAAGTTACACCGTGTTAAATCTAACAGTCGGTATTAATTACCCAATTAAATAAAAAAAAAGTAACAAAGATCCGGTTAAAGTTTTAAGATGGCGGTCGGCCGGATTGGAAGAGGGGGAGAAAGATACGTTGCTGACCAATGGCATGGCCTCGGATAATAACAAGGGGCACTAGCCCGTTGCACGTGTTTTCGCGGTCATCTCTAGCGTGTCCTGCCGAATTTTCAGACTAGGTAATTTGATTGACACAAAAGAGTGGAGTTCGCTTGAATGCATCTTCAGACTTGCTTGACAAGAGATCAATAGCACTTCCGTGTGAATTGTTCTTGGTCCGACACCATATTCATGTTAACCCCAGATTAAGCATTACTTACGCGATTTTGATAATGCTTTTAGATTAGAAAAAAAAATTTCGTGAAAACAAAAACCATTTCATAACAAATTCGTTTGTTTAACGTCGGCGAAAAATAAAAAAAATATATATATATTTTACATTAAAATCTTTTTCAATTTTTGTGAATGGCCACCATTAAATAATATCTTGTCCGTTTTCAACCCTTTAAGAAAGAAAGGAGACGATCAATAGTCCCCTTTTCCCTCTCTCCGCCTTCAATTCAGTCGATAAAAACATCACCATCAGAAACATATTTGTTGATGCGATCGGCCTAACGATGTTGGCTAAAGTTGCGAGACTTTCTGAGCAGAATACACATTATCCTGTGTTTACTCGTCTAGGGTATCTGATGACGGGGCACAGAGGCCCCCCACTTTGTGCGGGGAATTAAGCCCAGATAGACTAACCACTTGCCAGGATGCGATAAGGTGGCAATCTCTGAGCTTTTGCTTGGACTTGGCATAAACGAGTCGTTAAGATACTTGGAATGCCTCAGGTGCTTTTCTGTTCTTAAATAAGAACATTTTAATATAAACTCTTTGTTTTTCTTCTTCAGAATGGTTATTTTCGTTTCTATTTACTACCATTTTATAGCCTGTTATCATTAAAATTTCTATTATTCAATAGAACCAGTATGTCCCTTTGGAGATTAATTTTATATTCAAAAACAACGAAATTGTTTATCACTCGAGTTAATAAATTCAATTTTTATTTTCTAAAACACTAATTAGGAAAAATTTGAGGAGTATAAATCAAAGTTAGAGACAGAAACATAAAGATTCTACACTATAAATATAAGAACTCTTAAGCTTTAGTACTTATTGATAAAATTAAATTACTAAAAAATAATTTATAAATTAATTAAGTTAATTAAAACAGATTTAAAACCTTTTAAATTGTGAAATAGTCAAGTTATATAATCAATTTATAACAGAGAAGGAAGTTAATTTTATACAAATATTTACTTAATTAAACCGAATTTATATCATAAGATATCGTAAAGTAATATATCAAATCTGAAAAAAGAGCCTTATTATTTTATTAGGCGTTCGTATGCAGAAAATATTTAAATATTTATCCATCCTTCTCCTATCTTTATATAATTATTGACTGTCATTTGAATTTAAAAAAAGAAAAAAAAATTCATTATTTATTGTTGTAAATAGAGAAAATTAGATAAAAATTATACTATAAACCTGTTTTGAAAAGAGGTGAAAAATATTTATAATAAAAGAATGACGTCATTTGGGAAACTTCCCATTCGGAAAATCAGAAAAGATTTTGAAGAGGAGGGATTATCCGCATGTAAAATAGGCTTCCCTCCCTCCTCTGGCTTACTTTCCTCTACTCTAAAATACATGAGAAAGAAAAATACTCCATACTCAAATTTATACTTAGATCTAAAATCTAAAGACCATAAATGTTTATCTTGAGTATTATCTTCTGTTTTATAAAATGTGAATATGTAAATATTGGAATAAACACAGAAGAAAATAATAATAATAAAAGAATTACAGTATAATTATTTATTCTTACGTAAAGTATACAAAATACTATGCAGATTAAATTTAAAAATATTTTATTGTTTTAGAAATTAAATTATCAGATTTTTAAAATAATTTATAAGTTATTAATTTATGAAATATCGATTTTAAAAAATAATAATAAATTAATTACTTAAATTACGAAACTTATGGAGAACGGAAAGGTGTACAATAACACTTGACATCATTTAAGATTACGTCGGATGCTTATTTGAAACTCTTTAAAGTATTAAACTTTTAAATTATATCGTGAGTGAATCCTATTACGTGTTTATTTTTAAAAAATAATAATATAAACGGTAAGATTTTGTTAATTTTTTTCGTTATAAACGATAAGCATTACGTTAAACTATGCGATAAATAATTCGATCGTAATACTAAGGTTTAATCTATATTTATAATTATTTTATCTATAATTTTACGTGTATTCGTATCAATTTACTATTATTTCATTCAATATTTTGTTTAATCTAATAATTATTATTGTTTTACCATTTAAAAGATGTGCATTTGTGATTATCAGAACATTTTTTTTTTACCTTATTGACCATTTTTAAAATGAAATAAGTAGAATGTTTCTTTGTTAGATTAAAAAAAAACAATTTTTTTTAAGAATCCGGAGATAATTTCCTCCTCTCAATATATATAGAGAGGAGGAAATTTATATATATATACACATAAAAATAATAAAATTCTAAATTTGAAAAATTATACCCATTTAGATCGTCTCTCGTATGGTTTTCTTTCTGAAGAAGTACAAAGTTGATAAAAAGTCATTTCAATCCATAAAATGTTGTCAATTTTCCCTTAGTTTAAATTCCCTTTAGTGACATTTGGGAAATATTTGGAAAAAAATGTAAGAACAAAGAAAGTGTTTGCTATTTATTTGTATTCCTTAGAAACAGTGGTTGCAAAAACATTCCAATTAACAGTATTCCTTTCACGTTGCTCAATTTTACGACTTTCATCCCAAGAAACAAAAATAATGGTTCCTTACCTCCAGACGCACACCTGTTGTTAAGATGGCGATAAATGACCCATCACTTCCTTTTGCCATTTACAAATTCACCAAAGAATTTCAACATTCTTAATTTTGACAAAGGGAAAGCACCGCTCAGAACGTCCTTGCCAAGGTTATGGCCTTTAGCTGTATTTTTTTTTTTCCTTTTTTTTTTATCTGGTAGTAGATACTTTTATTTTAAAAAATTCGTTTGTTTAGAAGGTGACTCGATCTAGATAATCTATCGGTAATAAACTGTACGCCTATCAAATTTAAATTCGGATCCTTCATAAAAGTGAATAACATTCCGAATAGAGGATTGATCTGCTCTTATACCTCAATATGCGGTCGTAAACGAGGCATTTTCGGAGAATAGTCTATTTTCTAAACTGTACTTTACGGAGAGAATATTATTTCGCTACATTTCGCCATTTTATTTACTAGCTCGCAACGTTTATAAATTCAAACTCGGGAATTTTTTATCTGCTGTTTTTTGATGTATAAAAAAGAGGAATTTTACGTTTCGTGCAATGTATTCGGTATGTTTTTTCAATTTTCTGGAGTGTGTACTAACTTAATAACGAAAAGAAACAAATTGTATGAAGAACACAACTCCATTTATTAAACCCTTTATTTACGGAAGTAAAAGAAATTCGATCCGACAAAACAATGTAACTCGTCGTTCTGGCCTTGTGCCAAAATATCTTAGCAAGAGACCACTACCTTCTATTATAATTAGCGCGGTCCTACGGAAGATTGTCCCAAGTAGCTGTGCTAGTGGTCAGCGCCGAGGCAATCCCAAGAATGTACATAAAGTCCACCTGTGTCACCACACGCACTGACAATCGATAGCCTCTTCTGCCGCGACCTACCACCCCAGGCTATAAAACTTCCCTTCGTCTGGCAGACAGACCATCCGGCAGCTCCCGAAATCAGTCGCATTGCGTGGAACTGCATCTCTACATCATAAGAGGTAGCTGTACGCGAATATGCTGACTACAAACAGATACGAGCCCCTATATTTGTCTTGGCACGCGCTTAGAAATAGAGTTTCGTTCTGGGCTATACTTGGACGGCGAACGGGAAGGCAGCTTTATTTTCACGTGACCCGGCTATTTGTCACTCTCCGGGGGACCATACCTCTTGCCAGACGTCTGCGCACTTTCTTTTATGAAGAAATCAAAGTGTGAAGAAACTATTAAGCGCCGGTCCAATGTGACGTACCGAGCCGGAGATATGTAACCGTTATGAGCTGACGTCACGAGCGCGCAACAAGTCGACACCGGCAACGGACCAATGGCGGAGAAGCAGGGACAGTGGTGCATCGACGAAGCACAAGCCCTCCTCAGTCTACCTATGGTGGCTAGATACTGCCAGGACACGTATGGTTGCGCAAAGGAGGACTCATGTCGTTGGAACAAGTGAGTACTCTCTTCACATTTATTACCGATTGGTTTCTAGTTGGTTGCCAGACGAGCACGTTATCGGTTCGGATCGACTCAAAATTGATCGACTACGTGCAAAGATGCTTCTTTTTCTTCACTTAAATTAAATTGTTGTCTGGTACACAATCTAAAATTACGTAAGAATTCGAGTCGATACCCCCGTGGTCGGAGGTATATCCTACGTTCTCGCTGGCCTCTTAATTGACGAGGAACATAATAGACTGTTACCTCCAATAGCAACCTTTCGAGCAATTTGATTATGATAATCACCGCTGCATTATTGATAATCATAAGTTGTGACATGCGCAGTTCCTTGACGACTATCAAATGTGTGGTTTTGTCGCACTTGTCATTTGCAGAGCTGGCGACGATGTAATGATGTCAAGGCGAAAACAGGCCAAACCTCAACACATAGACAACGTCCAGGAGTTGGCATCTCTGCTAGAAAACGGTAAGTCCTCTTCTTCTTCGTTAATTACATATTTATCAATACTTACTAATAAGTATTCGGGCCATCTACAGACACACGGCAAAAAGCCGCCGAGTAAACTTTGCTCACTCCACAGCTGACAGCTTTCCATTCGCGTTGACGCCGCTATCTTGGCAACAATTCAAACAGGTAACAGAATTACCAGTCGTCACCCCAACTACCCCTAGCAAAAAAAATTCTGATGACAATTAAAAGGGTTATAAAGAAGAGCGGAAGCAAAAAACCTTCTTGTTAGCAGCCTCACTTTTGGCGCAAGTTCTTAACGAAACTCGAAGGTTAGTCGTTGGAATCAGAGTCATTTGGTAACCAGATGAATTGTGGGAAGAGCATTTGCAATCGGAAACAATCAGGCATAATTGTCCTGTGATGGATGAGGCTGTTTAACGTAGCAAAGAAAAGCCTTTTAATGAAATTCGCTATTTAACATGAGATAGTTTCTTTCGAGTTGCTTGAATTGCATTAAGTCAGAATAACTTTGACTGTCTCTCCATTTCTTTTAACAGTTTCGCACAAAAAAGCACTTCGGGGCGGACCGACCTTCATTAAGGCCCGCAACTTCCACTCTTTTTCTAATCATTCGCTATTTATTTCTAACCCATATAAACTTCTTATTAGACTACGCTCTTTCTGCTTTTTACAATACATCTTCAGATACAGTAGGCAAGAAGTAGACTAATCTATTTCTTCCATTGTATTAAGGAAAGGAATCTACTTCTTCCTTTTGCCTTTCATATTATTTCATTTTAGTATTTAAAATATTGCCGTTTTCCCTCATATTAAAGTGTTCGAGAAACCAATGCAATTATGTAAAAACAACATTAGCCGCATTCAAGTAATCTATTCTCTTGCCGTCGGAGGATTAAATATTAGAGAAAGTACTTTAAATGTTCTTAATGGAATTTCTTGAGCATTTTTTAGGCCAAACTTTACGCAGCGAGCGTGTACTAAAGTTGAAGTTTCGAGCTCATTGCGAATAACCGAAGCGATTAGTCATTGGCTTCGGAAGAAACAGATGATAAAGAGATCTGTATCCATGGTAACGGGATGGTGAAATGTACCCAGGAGGGGGACCCCGTCCCTCTAAGTGAGGAGAACAGTTGACATCTGCTGATTTTCATTAACAGTTCTTAATAGACTTTCGAGTTTCACTAACTCCAACGTTCGAGTAGTGACCAGGAGGTTTGAATTCGTATTCTAGTCCTTAAATAGCGGGTGGAGTGATGACCAGTTTTACCTCATTTAATTCTTCTGGATTAAAAAGAAAATTGGTGCTAATGAGTTTTCGGGTCGATAGGCGATAAATTAGGAATTCTTCACGGTAAAAATAAGGTTATCGATTGCCAGGATGCAGATCGCTCTTGGCTTTTTAAAGAGCTTGATAATCTCTTAAATGATATCTAAGACAAAGAAGAGCGGTTCTGTTTGAATGCCACTTAAGAGAAATTTATAGACATCCGTCATTTTGAAAAATGAATAGACACACAATTAAGAGTGCTTCTTCGATCGGTTCTTTATTTCAATTATTTTCAGAGAGAACGCCTAACTTTAAAAAATCTTATTTTCAGAAAATGTTTCGTGTTTAAAACTTTAAATAGTGTCTTTTTTTTTATCATGAATTGATAACAAGAGATATTAAATGGCAAATTTTATCGCTTGGTATCGATTGAACCCGCGTTAAATCATTATGATCGAGATATAAAGTAAACAACCAATTCAAATATGCTCAGTGATTTGTCGAGGTGTCAATGCATAAACAGGGTGGAATTAAGCGTGTCGATAATAGTCATCCCAGTCGGGAACGAATTCCTCGCGGCGCCGTGGATTTTTGTTGCAGATATCGGGCCTATAACAATAATACACATAGCGGAAAGACATTATCCGGCCCTCCTCCCTTCATCCTTGAAAGTAAAACCCTATTGGTCACGTGAGTACCGGAAGCTGGTCCACTAACATGACATTAGACAGGGGGTCAAACCCGCGACCTCTAACCCCAGTGTTCTGACTGTCAGTGGCGGAGTGATGGATCCCAGGACCCGAGGCTAAGATATTCATGCCGTACCTGGGGTATGTCCTTATTTTGTCACTTTGGTGTTGGTGATTTGTCTCTCGGCGAAGAGACAACTAGTTACAGAAAGAAGGCGCCACAAGTTAGGTTCCACAATAGAAGGTCCTCTTCCCAGATTTGCTGGCAGATATTTCTATTATTCTCGGTTGTCAGAAAAGAATTGCGATATTCGACAATGAATAAGCGTTTGTTTGACGAAATAAAACTGGCAAACGAGATTTGCCAGAGTTAAAGAGAATTATCGTAGCTGCTGCAAACCTTGGCAATTGTCATGTGTTGTATCAATGCCAAAAACTAAAATTTTCTGTAAATAAATTTGTTGCTAATGTTAGACGTGTTTTACAAAAAGCGATTCATATTATTATGTTACAAAATATTACCCGCACCGAGGCTAGACCTTTCCGAGATCAGGGCCAATAGTGAGAAAAGTTCGGGATTAAGATGGGAGGATTTTCTGCTATCTTGATTGACAAAAGAGCCGTGCTTGGTATCAACAGCAAACACTATAAAGCGAAAGTAAGACAAAAGTAGACAACTTCTACCTGCACAACGACAACCGATAGACAATTATCTAGGATTAAGAAGGTTGAGTGGAAGGATAATTATTTGTTAGAGAATAGTGGAGGTCAGGCAGTGGAGGTTTTGCTCTCTTGCCCCGCCTGTGTACACAGAGGTCAGGGGTCCAACTGAGTCACGTGTTAGCCTCATAAAGCTGGCACGTGCATTTCCCGCCTCCCGAGTCTGTCATTTCGGTTGAGGTAGAAGTTTTGTGACGCCAATTTCCTCCTACTGTAGCCCCGTATTGCGGTAAACGAGAAACTTTAATTTAAAATTCGGCCGGAATATCCGCAGTTTCCGTGTCAGCAAATTTAAATCCGCCATGTAAATTCATTTAGCAAAACGGAAAAAAAATTTTTTTTTCTTAAAAATTTGACTCGAACTTAAGCAACCAGAGCAGAAAGGCAATTGAAAAATAAACAACTAATGAAGGATCCACAAAGCTATAATTTAGAGAGTCGAGGATAAAAATCGTTAGCGAGCGGCACTCTAATATTTTCCCGTCCGTGAGTCCAGTCCCTGACCCTAGCCGTGACCCTTCAGGGAAAACATGCTGGCCACGAGATTACACATTCTGGTTTATGGTCCAGGCAGGATCCCTGTCTTTCACTTCAGGGCAGGTGCTACGAGCCCTGTTAGGGGGCCTCTTCTACTTTGATCGCTTTCTAGTAAACAGTTTGAAGTGGGAAAACGGTTTATAATAAAAAGTTATTTTGGGTGGCCAAAATTATTGAGACGAATAGCAAAAAGCCGCTAATGCGTACCGTGACGCATTTTGCGCACCAGTCGCGTTTACGATGACAATCTGTCAACTCCACGTGACAGTAATCCCTAGTCACGTGACCGAGGGTCGCGTTGTTCGTTGTCAACGCAGTTGCATTCGGAAGAGAATCAATATGTTGTTAAAATAATTACAGCGCTGTTTATCTTCATAGAAGCGCATTTCTGCATTCTTTTCGTCTACAATTAAAATTTCCATGATAATAATAATATCAATCTTCTGTTTTATCACGTAAAATAAATACTGCAAGTTGCTTCTTTTTTTTCCATTCATTCTTTCGTCGACTCCTAGCAAGAATTCCGAAGCCTTCCGGATATTTTAGGAAAATTTAGTAAAGACAATAATCGAATTTTACGTTAAATTTTGAGATGATCGGTATCTTCTAATTAAATCGAATAATTCCATTGTCCAATTACGCTTTTCTTAATGGAAAAAGAAAAGCGCAGCAATAAAAGAAAACCAGAACGTCTAAGTTTGTTATCTATTACAGAGCATTTGATTCGTCGTTTAGTGTAGAATGTAAAAAAAAAATTAACCAATTGACTTATTCGTAAAACTCTATGGAAAAAAAAGAGCGTTACTTGATCTACATCTTTCTAAATATAGGTAAATTTATTCAATTATCAGTGATTTAACGAACATGCAGAATGCGAGAATGCTTAAAATCAAAAATAAAAGAAGAAATAATATTTATAAATCGAATGAAGGCCTGTGGAGAAGACGACCCCAGTAGCCATCTAAAGCTTCCGGCTTTTAGACATCAAAACTGCGGGACCACTTGGGAAAGTTTCGTGGAATCTTCTTCGGAAGGATTTGTTTATAAGGTCGAATCGAAATTGGCTAAAACCTTCAAAAAAAAGGAGCCATCGGGTCAGTTGGCGTAGCTAATAAATACTTCGGTGCAGGAGTAGAGCCGGAGACATTTTAGGCAGCCCGGTCCTCGCGGGGGGCCCAACCAGCGGGAATGATCTCCACGGAGCCCAGATTTGTAGAAAAGACAGGAAGAGAATTAAAGATAGACTTTGCAGATCTGCCGAGGCAGACAGCCTATGCACCTCTGCTTCTACTGTACTTGGACCCACCTCTACTGGGTGTTAAGTATAGTCGCCCCAGGGGGGAATACTAAGATTACATCCGTTTTCCAGTCAGTGAACACTGTAAGTGGGCATTTTTTTACTATTTCTTCTTCGCCTTTCACCGAATGAGAGCAGGACTGCATAGGTTGTAGAAGGAGAAAGTAAAGCAGAAGAGTGTGCCTACCGAGTCCTGTGGGCACAACTTATCGGAGTAAGCGACTAGGTAAAAAAAAAAAAAGGCCCGGGGAAGTCCATCTGACTGATTCTCTTGTTGTGGGTCAAAGGGTGAATTGAACAGGTGGGTTATTTCTCCCGGAAATGTCTTAACTGAATCATTATGGCAAAATTACTGTTGTTATGATAATGATAGCGTCACCTGTTCTTAAGTGGTAAGTGCAATTTTGTCGGCGAGGCCTCTCCCGTTTAATTTGCTCCTTCGAACTTTTTACGTAACACCAACCACTTTTTTTATACCTTACTT